TACCTTATCAGACACGTAATTCAGACAGAGCCCAGTTATCATCGGAGGGTGTGTCTGCGCCTGCCCTGGCCTGCTTTCCTCACTTCCTCATCCCCACCACCATAATCCCCTGAAATGCACACTTTGTGCCTTAGTAAGCATATAGCATAGTGACTTGAACAGAGTTAACATTTGAAAACTATGTATGGAACCGAATTAATTGGAAAACACTTGCTTTTTGGATTTCTCATCAGGTTCCCAATTAATCCATTGTTTTGCCTTCCTTATCAAAGATAAGATTAAGGGCTATTGACTTGATCTGTGTATCTATTTTCATTGCTCGATTCTTCTGGATATTTAAACCTGTGCTCGTTTTGTGGTGGTGGAGAGAAAGAAGAGAATAGCAGTCTCTCTTGGCTTCAGAAAAGGCTAGGTCTGATTGGACAAGGGGTCAAGTTATGAACAAAGAAAGACCAGAGATCTTAACCACCAAATGAGGGCCCACCAGCTTTTCTGAGTCTCAGTTTTTCATCTGTTTATACATATGTTCTAGATAAGTCTGTGATGGCTAGGCCCTGGGGGGAGGCTGTGTACCATAAATGGACTCCTTCTACCCTGTGTATTGTCTATGGTGGGTGCCCAATTGGTGAGAAGTTAAGGCCTAGGCAAAAAATTTTTTAAATGAACAATATCTAACCATATGGCACTTTACAGTTTATAATGCACTTCCATATGCATTATCTCATTTGATCCTCATGAGAGAGGCCAGGTATTATTACATGCATTTGAGAGATGATGAAACTGAGATTTGGAGATGGTGGTCAGCAGTGGAGTTGACACTCTAGACCACATCTTCTAAAACACAATGTGCTTTTCCTTCTGCATCATGATGCTGCTTAGGAAACATGAAGAAGTATTTCTCTCTTCTCAATATGGTTCTTTTTTAGATTCCATCACCAGCTTAAATTGACTCACTGGGACGCCTTCACCAAATCCCTAAATGCAATGGGGTATCCCTTCTGTGGGGTGTGCTCTGTATTCACAGAGCATCCTGAACTTAACTCTCTGTAGCACTAGTCACTCTGACTTATAATTGCTTAATCACCTATCTGTCTCTACTACTAGATTATAAGCTTCTGAGGGCAGGGCCTGGGTCTTGTTTAGTGTTTCATCCTTGATATCTACACAGTACCTGCTGATAGGTGCTCCATAAATATTTGTTAAATTAACTGAATAGAAAAACTCAACATAAGATTTGAGGAGTTTCTACAATAACTACACAGAAAATTAAATGTCAATATTGTTTTACGGTTTCCCTGTCCACAATTTTATGTATTGATTCTAGCTTCTGTGGAATAAAGCACATTATCCATATTTTACAAAAATGATTTTCATCTCCAGAATTCAAAATGGACTACATTTACATTGAAAGTTTCAGCCCAGTACCCTTGTGTATAATGCCACAATTTTATGGAAATAATATTGAATAAGTAGATGGATGAGTTGCTAAACCTTAAGTTAAGTTATGGTTACCAGATTTTCTGTTAATTAGCCATCTGGTTCAACGATATAAACACTTTCAATAGATAACTATATAGGCAACATGATCATTTATAATTGTTAACGTTTTTGCTGTTTTTACTAGAAATAATTAGCATCTCTCAACCACAAAGGTTTGGTTCATTTAGATAATATTCATAATGTTCACCTGGATCATATTTATCTTTGTGAGATTTTAGTTTTTACAAGATCAGAATAGGAAAGGGAAATTTGTATCAAATGATATTTGGAATAGGAATGTGTACAGCTTGAATGTGTACAGCTTAAATGTGTACATCATTGATGTTATTTCCTTGCCATATCCTTCCATGTTTTGAACGTCCTTAAATAAATGAAGGAAAGGGGATTGCAGAGATGCTAAGAGAATGAAAAGGGAGAAGAAATTGTTTACCAAGGTCCAAAACGTTATATTCTCCTTAAAAACAAGACAAGGGAAAGCGGCATTCAGCAATGACCTCTGAAGTGTGCCTTGCAGTACATTTCAGTCCAAGTTCAATTTAAGATCTAAATCAATCCTTGATCTTGATTTCTTTTGGATTGTCCAATAGGATTTTCTGGCGTCGGCAGATTCACTTGGCGGCAGGGATCCGACCCAGCATGATCACCAGCTCCTTCCCCCAGCTTATGTCTAATGTGGATGCAGCTTACGAAGTGGCTGACAGGGGCACTGCTTACTTCTTTAAAGGTACCCCGCAGACTCCCCAAAGAAAGAAACGGCAGGGTGCAGTACCCAGTTTGTTTGTAACATCCACTACTATCAGCGTTTGTTCGGTGATCATGAGGCGTGTTCTGGTCACTCCTTCTCCTCAGGTTGGGTATGAAATGCCACTCTATGGTATTTGTAACAATGACAGGGATGACGATGACTATCAGACTGTTCTCAGAGCCAAGACTTTACCCTAGTGAGGCACCGTGCTAAGTGACAGTGCCCAGGGAGCTAGAAACCTGGTCCCTGCTTCCTAGGACCTCTGCTCAGAGTGACACGGCGTACTCTACTGAAAGCCTCTAATTAACAAAGCCAGCATGGAACCCCATGAGGAGAACAATACCTTGCTGCTATGTCATGCTCAGAAGCAACGGGGAGTGGAGGGATGCCTGTGACTCCAGGAGGTGGACACACACAATATCAATCTCTGGCTCCATCCCTTTACTATCTGAATGACTTTGGGAAGTTACCTGTTCTGAGCCTTCGTTTCTTCCTGTGCAAAATGATTATAGTAATATCAGCCTTGAAGATGTGACAATGGCTAGCCAATGGAAGTTATCCAATAAGTGCTAACTATCAGTTTTAGCTTATATTTTCTTGATGCTAAGGGATAAAAATAGAAGGCTAGTGCCAATTTAAGTTAAGAATCACAGCATTTGCGTGTCACTTGCCCCTTCTCTCTCATAGATATATCAGACTGAAATGAAAATATAAATGAAAGGTATCTTGAAAATATTAATGTGTTAAATTTAAGACACAGTTGTATCAACATTATTGCTTTCGGAAGGCATCGCTAGGGATTTTTGTCTTTAGGGCAAATTTTAAATCTTTTACTGACTTGAATAGTTAGAGGTTTATATCTCCTATTGGGTTATAGCCATGGCAAATATCCCAGAAACTAGCCCCATTTATGATCCTGCATAGAAATCCTCATGAGTGAAGTGTATCACCAAGTGGTACAGAGTTTTTGTAAACTTTAATTTCTATTCTCAGGCCCCCACTACTGGATAACAAGAGGATTCCAAATGCAAGGTCCTCCTCGGACTATTTATGACTTTGGATTCCCAAGGTACGTGCAGCGAATAGATGCTGCTGTCTATCTCAAGGATGCGCAGAAGACCCTTTTCTTTGTGGGAGACGAATACTACAGGTATGGTTTTTCTCCTTTTGATTGTCCAAATGTATTCAATGGGAAGGAAAAAATCTTTTGCAGAAATGAATGAAAGGCAAGTTTGCAATAGGCCCATTGACTCTTCTTGGCCACTGGGGTGCCATTTACTCGTGCTTGACACTGTCTTCGAGATATGGAACCATCCAAATGATAAGTGAAATGTTCAGTCATTAATCCCATTCTCTGGTCTCTAGGACACCAAACATCCTGATCTTTCAATGCACTCAGTAACTGGATCCCCAGTGGCCTAAAAGAGTGGATGCAGCATCCCCAAATACATAACTACCCACGGGGAATGCCTGAGGGGAGAACTGACTCCCTGTTATGTGAGTACCAATGCATTCCTGAATACTCGGTGATTTTGTGCAAAACGGATGTGGTCATGACTGTGGGGCTCTTTGAAGGAAAGTTCTGCTGAAAGGAAAAGGCCCTATTGCTAGTTCCTTTTATCCAACCTAGGACATGAAGATTCTTCTTATCCAAAGTGGACCATATATAATTTCCCTGCCTGTCTTGCAGGAGGTTATTGTAAGCAGATCTGAGTAAGGTGTCATCTGTCATCCAACCACTACACACGGGGTCACACATCATCTCACCTACTGGGTTTCTATCCTTAATTGACTCATGTTGAAGAATGAGTGCATCTCTTTGCCAAGCTCTGCCTCTGCACACCTCCCCTCTATTCCCAGTTCTCACTTTGGCGTTGCTTGTTTTGCTGAACTTCAAAAGAGAGAAGCAAAAACAGAATCTAAGCAGGTGACTATGCTAAACAATTTAGGCCCATGATAGGGTCTGGTTGGAAGCAGGAGAGCACCCAACTTTGGTCCAAGAGTTTTTGTTTTATTTTATATCGTCTATTTTTAATAACCATTTCTGTGACATAGAAATTTGTAAATAAATATTTGTCATCTTCTTCCACCTGACTGATATTATCTTCCCCAATTTGGAGCTGAGAAAGTAATGTAACTGGAGCGTAGAAAAGGAAAATTTATTTTATAAAAATGAATGCCAAACAAATGTGGACCCTGCTAACTCTTCTGGGCCACTGAGAGCGCTGGTAGCATTGCTCAAAGTATCATGTGGTGTCACAAGTTGTCACTCTCAGTCCAATGTTTAAACCACTAAACCAGCTATTTTTCTTTTAGACGTTCCCTTCTGAAATAATGACAGTAATTCCTTTACTAAGCCCCTAATATCTGCTGGGCAGATTCTCCAAAGTCTTTCTTTAAGATAAGGTGTCTGTAATCATAATACTGACATACGGGAAGATAGATATTGAGAAACTCGATTCCCATTGTGGATTTTTCAGAGAATGAGTTGGAGAGAGCATATGTGTGGGAGTATAAGGGCATTTATGTTAGGATTATGCAGTTAATTTTCCAAAGCTTGTTAACAGCCTCATTCTCATTGGGGGGATTATCCACTCTCCCATTATTTCTCTTCTCCATTTATCACCTGGTCTTTGGACTAATCTACCACCCACAGTAAAGCATGCACCTCCAGCCAGGCAGGATTAAGGCCTAACAGCTAACACAGGAGGCTTGATGAAAGGTTTAAAATTTTCTGTAAATTTAAGATTGGGGAGGAAGACAGTCTCTGATTTTAATGATATCTAATGCCCCCTGAGCAAATAATATTGAAACTTTCTAACTTGGCCTCTGTAAGTGTCTATTAAGGAAAAGACTTCAGTAATCTAGATAAAACAAATACATTGAAAAGTTGGTCTAAGGCATTAACTCAAATGTTAAAGAGCTCATTTTGCTGGTAAGAGAAGGAAATCGTGGTAGGCACTTTTAACGTTAACCCTCCCAGGTTATCGAGAGTATTAAGTGATAATAATGCATGTAGACACCTAGCACAGTACCTGGCCCATAGTAGGTACTGTCAAAAAAAGCAACTGTTCAGTAACAGTAGGAACTTATATGGTAATTAACAAATAACTACTTTAAAAGCTGTAATAGAGTCTGGCCCAGTGGTGCAGCGGTTAAGTGCGCGTGCTTCTCTTCAGCGGACCAGCATTCACAGGTTCAGATCCTGGGCACACACTGACACACCGCTCGTCCAGCCATGCTGTAGTGGCCCATATAAAGTAGAGGAAGAGGGGCACGGATGTTAGCCCAGGGCCGATCTTCCTCAGAAAAAGAGGAGGATTGGCAACAGATTTTAGCTAAGAGCTAATCTTCCTCACACACACACAAAAAAAGCTGTGATAATTAACAAATGATTGCTTAAACCTCAATGTTCCTCTGAGCAGCAATCCAGTCAAAGAGCTGATCAAAGGGAATTTCCTTTTTAAATACTGAAGGACTCTGACATTGCACTGAAATTACTGCTTTTGGCAAAGCATAGGCACTCCTTTCAACAATGACGGTCTTCTACTTTACACACTTCAATGCACACATTGACTTATGCACTAAGGAATAGAACAAACAACCTTGAGCTACAGCTCAAAAGTTCAGAAAAAGCTATTGTATCAGCTCTATTAAAAAACTCTCCCCTGAATTCTGCATATTTTATTTAACAGGACCTCATGTGTATGACATCTTATTGTCACGTGAAGCCCTGTATTGGTTAGAAATTGTGTTCAGCTGCTAGTGACAGAGACCCCAAAATAACTGTGGCTTAAACACATGAGGGTCGTGTTTTTCTCATATATGTAAATGTCTGAATTTTAACAGATTTAGGGCTGGTATGGTAGGCCCATGGTCATTAGAGACTCAAGCTTCTTCTAACCTTTTGCTCCACTGTTAACACACAACTTCCACTCTCATGGTTGCCACCAGATTCAAGGTGGCCAATGGAGCTTCAGTTGTTATATCTAAACAGGAGGAAGGAGGAAGCTAGGAGGAAAGGGCAGAGGAGACAAATGAGTTCTACAGGTAAAGCACATTGCCACACTCAAAAATATAGAAGACCAAGAATTTACTATATTGACATCCATTGACAGTGTGTTAGGACTTATTCCCTAGTCATTCCTCAGGTTCTTCTTTGGTCCTCATGTTCATTCAGTCTGGGACACAAATAATGTGCCAAGGGAAGAAAAGTCTCTGGATATGCTTGTTGTCAGGGGAATTCTCCAGGAACTTCCAGGGTTTGGGACCAGTTTTAGTAAATGATACCATGAGAAGACTATTGAGTGAAACTTCCTCCACTGAGGACTGAGGGTTGCTTGGGGCCAGATTGGTTTAAGCTCAAGAGTGACACTATGTCAGCATAGTAGTAACTTACAGGGGAGTAACCCGCAGAGAACCACAAAGTAAGACCTAACAAGGGGCTCTACCATGCTGATGCGATTACATGCTACCTCACGGATTGACATACTGGTTAAACTTTACCAACTAAGGCTACTTCTCCACACGTCCATTTGTTTTTATTCCTTTTTTCCTCTTTCTAGCAGGCCCCTATGATCCAGTAAATTTTTGTTTCTTTACATTACTTCCATCACCTATAGCTAATTTCTCTCTTTAGATGTTCTCCCTCACCTACCAATAGAACAGAAGCTACACCAAGGAGTTTCTAGGGAGCGCCATCAATTCTGTCATTCTTTGAGATGGTCAGTATTTCCTGAATTTTATGTAAAGTGTCTTGCAAATCTATAGATCCAGGCCCTTTTCCATCCCTAAATCACTCTTTCTATAAAGATAGACTGGAAGTATAATTGATGCAAAGTAGGACACAGTCTTCCACATTCTTTCCTCCCTGGATGCCTCAGGAATACTGGAAATGGATTTGTTTATTTAAGAATCTTATACTTAGCCACCATAGAAAAATAAATAAAAAGTAATACAAATAAGAAAGATGAGTAGAGTTAAATATCTTGTTTTTTAATCTTAAATTTTAAAAAATTCATTACCAAATTACCACATTCAACCTACATATATTGGGCATGATTATATGTCAGGCTCTGTACTAGGACCTTGACACTCAAGAGAAGGCATAGAGTTTGCTGTTTAAGAGTGTGGGCAGGAGTAAGAGAGTGTTAATCTCAACTCTAACAGCAATCGTCAGCAACTTGGATCACCTTTCTGTTTTAGTTTCATCATCTTCAAAAAGGGGACAGAAATAGTATCTACTTCATAGAATTGTGGGAATGAATGAGAAAAATGTGAAATGCGTGTTGTACAATAAGTACTCAATTCATGTTGGGTGCTATTAATGCCCTCGATAAGTCTTACAGTTGAGAGTACATATACAGATAAATAATTAAGAGCAATCCAAGTAATACAAATGGCCTGATAGAAGACTGCACAGGGATCAGTGGGGCAAAACAAACAACAGTCAGCTCTAGCAAAGGTATCAGGAAAGAATTCTTAGAGGAAGCAATGACTGAGCTTCATCTCGAGAGTTGAGTAGGAGTTTCCCAGGCAGGAGGTGGGAGGGGTGGCGGTGGCTTCCAGGCAGAGATAGCAGATGAAGCAAAGGCACTGATGCATGAAATAGCCTATGTATATGGGAAAAACCTCAAGCAGTTCTGTATGACTAGAACATGGGCTAGAATGAGAGATACGGCCCAAGGATGAGCAGGTTGTAGATGACAGAGAACCTGTGCCCTTCTAGGGAAATCAGTATTTATTCTATAGAAAAGAAGAATATCTTTAAATGTCCTAAATAAGGGAGTAACCTAAAAGATTTAAGTTATAAAAATATCACTCTGGCAGCAGTGTGACTGGATTAGAGGGGGCCAAGACTGGAAGTCAGCTAAACCGGTTAGGCCAGAAGGTAGTGGGAAATGTATTCAAAGTGCTCCAAGAAAAAAACACTTTTCAAACATGAAGGCAAAATAAAGGCATTCCCAGATAAAAAAAAACTGAGAGAATTTGTTTCTAGCGCATCTGCCTTATAAGAAATACTAAAGGGAGTTCTTCAGACTGAACACAAGTGACCTCAGACAATAATTTTAATCTACATAAAAAAATGAAGAGCATTAGTATATGTAATTATATAATTATAAAAGATAGTATAAATGTATATTTCTTCTCCTTTCTTCTCTTAACTAATTTAAAAATTAACTGTATAAAACAATATATATATAATTGTATTTGGGTTCTGTAACATATAAAAATATATTTGTCAAAAACAGCACAAAGTAGGTTCATGGGAGAAAAACTGTATGAGGCTAAGCAAATGCACCAGATGGTAACTCAAATTTATATAAACAAAAGAAGAGAGCCAGAAATGGTAAATAAGAAGGTTAATATTACAAAAGCTATAAATATATACTTGCTCCCCTTTTTTTTTCAACTTCTTTAAAAGACATTAAATTATATAAAATTGTAATTATAATAATGTGTTTTTGGGGTTTGTAACATATACAGTTGTGCTATGTATAACAATAATACCACAAAAGGGTATTCTGTGGAATAAAAAAGGTAGAGAATAGAGCAATATAGGAGTAATGTTTCTATATCTCACTGGACTTAAGTTAGTATAAATCTGAAGCAGATTATGGCAAATTAAGATATATGTGGTATGCCCTATAGCAACCACTAAGGAATAACTTTAAAAAATGTAGTGAAAAAAAATCATGAAATAAATTTAAATGGTACATTAGAAAATTTTCACTAATGCAAAAGAAAGCAGTAAGGAGGAATAGAGGAACAAAGAAATAGGAGACATGTAGAAAACAAAAAGTAAAATGGCAGATATAAATCCAATTACATCAATAATGTTAAATATGAATGAATTAAACAATACAATCAAATGGCAGAGATTGTCAGACTGTATGAAAAAAAACGAGATTTAACTATATGCTATCTACAAGAGAGAAACTTTAGAGTCAAAGACACAAATAGAATGATAGTAAAAGGGTAGAATATATATATATATATCATGCAAACAGCAACCATAAGAAAGCTAGAGTGGCTATACTAAAATCAGGCAAAAGACTTTAAAATAAAAAATGTTATTAGAGATAGAGAGGGACATTTTATAGTGATAAAAGGGTCAATCTACCAGGAAGACATAACAGTTATAAACAAACATGAACTTAACAACAGAGCCCCAAAATGCATGAAGCAAAAACGGACAAAAATGTAGAGAGAAAACAACAATTAAATAATAATAATTGGAGACTTCAGTAATGGATAGAACAACTACACAACAAGATCAATAAGGAAAGAAGACTCAAACAGCACTATAAACTAACTAGACCTAACAGATAACTGTGGAACACTTCACTCACAAAAACAGAATACACATTCTTCTCAAGTGCATGCGGAATATTTTTCAGGACAGATGATATATTAGGCTGCAACACAAGTCTCAATAAATTTAAAACAATTGAAATCACAAAAAATATCTCCTCTGATCGGAAAGGAATAAAGCCAGAAATCAATACCAGAAGGAAAACTAGAAAATTTACAAATATGTGGAAATTAAACAACATACTCTTAAACAACCAATGAATCAAAGAAGAAATCACAAGGGAAATTTAAAAATACTTAGAGATGAATGAAAATAAAAATACAACATACCAAAACTTATGGATGCCGTGAAGGAAGTGCTCAAAGGGAAATTTATAGCTGTAAATGCCCATATTAAAAAAAGAAGAAAAATCTAATACAAATATCAAGTTATGTTATATACTACCTGAAACTAATATAATGTTATATCAATTATACTTCAATAAATAAAAAAGAAGAAGATCTCAAATCAATAACCTAACCTTCCACCTTATGGCACTGGGAAAAAAAGAGCAAATTAGACCTAAAGCAAGCAGAAAGAAGGAAATAATAAAGAATACAGTGAAAATAAAAGAAGTAGATGATATATAAGCAATTTGAGACAAATCAACAAAATTAAATTTGGTTCTTTGAAAAGAACAAAAATGACAAACTTCTCACTAAATTGACCTAGTAAAAAAGAGAAGACTCAAATTACTAAAATCAGAAATGAAAGAGGGAACATCATTATCAATCTTAGAGAAGTAAAATAGATTTTAAAGGAATACTATGAATAATTGTATGCCAATAAATTAGAAACTCAGATGAAATGGATAAATTCCTAGAAAGATACAAGTTGATGAAACTGAGTCAAGAAGAAATAGACTGTCTGAGTAGATCTATAACAAGTGAAAAGATTGAATTCATAATCAAAAAATTATCACACAGAAAAACCCAAGCCTAGATGCTTCACTGGTGAATTCTACCAAAACATTTAAAGAAGAATTAATCCCAGTTTTTCACAAATTCCTCCAAAAAATAGAAGAGGAGGGAACACTTCCCAACTCATTGTATGAGGCCAGCATTACTCTGATGCCAAAACTAGGCAAAGGCATCACAAGAAAACAAAACATCAGACCAATACCTATTGTGAACATGGATGCAAAAATCCTCCAAAAATACTGGCACACCAAATCCAGCAACATATAAAAAGAATTACATACCATCACCAAGTGGGATTTTTCCCAGGGATGCAAGTCTGGTTTAACATCTGAAAATCAATTAATGTAATACATCATATCAAGAGAATAAAAAACAAAAACCACATGATCATCTCAATAGATGCAGAAAAAGAATTTGACAAAATCCAACACTGTTGCATGATAAAAACACTCAACAAAGTAGGAATGGAAGGAAATGTTCTCAACCTGATAAAAGGCATCTATGAAAACCCACAGCTGATATCATACTCCATGGTAAGACTGGATGCTTTCTCCCTAAAATCAGGAACAAGACAGAAGTTTCCATTTTCTCTACTTCTATTCAACCTGTACTGGAAGTTCTAGCCAGAGTAATTAAGCAAGAATGAATGAAATAAAAGTCATCCAGATTGGAAAGAAAGTAAAAATATCTTTATTTGCAAGGCACATAATTTTTATATAGAAAAGCCTATGAAACCCTTTAAAGAAACTGTAAGAACTAATGAATGAGTTCAGCAACTTTGCAGAGTATAAGTTCAGTATGCAAAAATCAATTGTATTTCTATACACTTCAACGAACAATCTGAAAATGAAATTAAGAAAACAATTCCACTTACAATACCATCAAAAAGAAAAATATTTAGAAATAAATTCAACAAAAGGAGTGGAAACTTATAGTCTGAAAACTGTAGAACATTGCTGAAAGAAATTAAACAAGATCTAAATGGAAAGATATCTCATGTTCATGGATTAGAAGTCTTAATATTTTTAAGATGACAATATTCCCCCAATTGATCTACAGAGTCAAAACAATCCTTCTCAAAGTACCACTGGGTTCTTTGTAGAAATTGTCGAGCTGATCTTAAAATACTTAAAAATATGGAAACTCATGGGATCCAGAATAGCCAAAATATCTGGAAAAAGGAGAACAAAGTTGAAGGACTTAGACTTCTTGATTTCAAAACTTACTACAAAGCAACAGTAGTCAAGACAATGTGACACTACCATGAGGATAGACATATAGGTCAATGGAATAAAATTGACAGTCCATAAATAAATCCATGTATCTATGGTCAGTTGATTTTTGACAAGGTTACTAAGGCCATTCAGTGGGGAAAGAACAAAATTAAGAAGTAAAATAGAATTAAAGGAATAAATAGGAGTTCCATTTTGTACATGTGGAGTTTGGTGTGCTGGTGGGACCTGAGAATGGGAATGTCCAGAAGAGAGCTGGACGAACAGGTCTTGAACTCAGAGAACTCAGGCTGCAGAGATAAATTTAGATTTTATCATATAATCAGGTGGTAATTCAGACCATCAATATTTTTCCATGTTGTTACATATTCTTTGTTCCAGAATCTTCTCACAATTATTTTCCTCATGGGGTCCAGTTCCTGACTCCTGTCTGGGATGGTACATGGCAGGCTTCTCACTCTTCTCCCTTCTCTTCATTCCTGACCACTCTCCCCTCTGTCCTTTTCTAGCGTAGATTGCAAAAGCCCCTGCCTCCATGAAAGCCCTGTGATTCCTGGCTAGAAGTGGATTATCAGCTTCCAAGGGCATTCCAGATATCCATTTCACTGAGATATCCATTCCAGATATCCTCTTTCACAATAAGAAAGGCCTCATTGAAGAAACTTCCTGAAAACATGTATCTTAGATACGTTATCAATAAATTCCCCTTTTTGCCGTCCTTTCTCACATTCTCTTTAAGCATCCTTTAGCAGACTCAACTCCCCATTCAGTACTTCAAAGGAGGCAGAATGGAATCAGTTTTGCCATTGACATATGATAGAAATCATCACAATCAAAATACCAGAAATTCCTAACAATCTAAGTTCTGAGTGTAAAATTAAACAAAATGCAGTCACATTACCAAAATAGTCCCCAAGTCCTTAGATTACAAAGGTGGAGAGTAAGATAATATATCTGGAAAATCACATCAGATATAATCTTTGGCACTGTGATACCACTAGTAAAGTTTAACTCTCAGCAATGATTTATTTAATATCTATACCCATTAATCAATGATAAACTATGAAACAAATGCCCATGAAGAAAATAAAGTTACAGGCCAATCATTTTTAGTTGGTATTTAGGTTTCCCGAACAAGACCTCTGTAATGAGAAAATGTGTGCAATGATTTTAACAAGTACCTAGTGTATAGTATATTCACAGTAAAATTTATTTCTTTCCTTAAGTATTCAAATTTAGCTAACATTTATTAATGGTTTATTGTGTGTAAGGAATCGTGCTGAATATTTTTCTCATATTCTTTCATTTTCCCATCTGCCTTCTCAACAATGTTGAGAAGTAGGTACTGCTATCTCCATTTAACGGTTAAAAACATTGCGTCTCAAAGAGATTAAGTGATTGGGTCAAGGTCACACAGCTAAAAAGTGGTCCATCTGAGGCTGTATTTCACGCCTTCTGAATCCAAATCCAGAAGTTCTTCCCGTCCACCACATACCGTCATTCTTCATTCTCTTCACCATTTACATATTTATTTACTGTCAATTAGGA